GAAGCACCGCAGCGAAGAGTATTTAGTTCTCTAGGATGAATGTGCCTGACGTGCGTCCGCGTACGTGTGAAGGCTGTGGCAGAATAAAAAATATCAGCTAAGTTGTAGTTTAGATTCAATTGTGTTTTATTTTTTTCATAAATTCCAGCACCCAGTACGTCACTGTATCATCAAATTCCTGAAACATGGGAATATTCGACAAATTCAGACAGACGTTTTATATTGGAAACAGATAGGGATGAATATAAATTTGTTGTTAATGAATTTAATAAAAGAATGAATGGAAAATATTCACAAATAGTTCAAATAGAACGTATACAAAATAAACGATGGTATATGCAATACTTGGCACATCGTGTAGATTTTAAAAAACGTTTAAATATGGAAACCGAAAAACTTTTATTTCATGGATGTCCAGAACAAGCTGCAAAAGCAATTATTGAAGATTGTTTCAACAGAAGTTTTGCCGGAGTTAACGGTGAGACAATCTATATGAAAATCGACTGAAATAGTTGTTATTCTTGTTATAGTGTGGCTATGGAATATTGTTCTCATTTTAGGCACTGCTTATGGTTATGGCGTTTATTTTTCGGCAAACGCAATTTATAGTCATGGTTACGCTAGACCGAATTCAAAAGGAGAAAAATTTCTGTTTTTATCTCGCGTTTTAATTGGAAAAGTCACCAGTGGTAATAGCACAATGAAAGCACGACCAGTTGGGATTTGATACAACAACAGATGGAAACCATATTTTTGTTACATTTCATGATGCGCAAGCTTATGCTGAACACTTAATAATCTATAAATAAAACAACAAGGGCATAGTCTAAACAAACAGCAAGCCATTCATACACGTCTGCACTTTCTAACCATTTCTGATCTTGTTCACATAATAAAAACTATTACTATTACTGATAAGTATACTGTCTGAAAATATCTTTGATCATTAGATGTGTCAACAGCTGATCATACGTCACACATAGTCTGAAGTTTTCCATTATATGCCTAGGAGACGCACACGATTGTCCATTGTATCAGTTAACCAAAAAAACATTTTTGCTGGTTTGGCTTGTGCCACTTAAATGTTCTGAGTTTCGAATGCATATTCATCTATTTTCTGAAAACTGCTCGAAATAACTATCTTTGTTCTTGTTTGCTCTAGCGGGAAAACCAAGGGACTAAGACTGAAGTTCTTCCTACAAGACGAGGCCATAGATTATCGGTCACGTTGAGTCTTGTGGCCACATTTGCTTTTCGAAAAAAATTCCAAAACCTAGTGAAAACCTATAATTAGGTGGAATAACCCATTTTTGCTTATTAGCGTGTAAAATTAGAATACTCATGTCTCAGTGAAGATCGATTCAAATTATGT